TGGGACATGTTACTCAGGGTGTATATATACGCCATGCGCACCATGGGACATGTTACTCAGGGCGTATATATACGCCATGCGCACCATGGGACATGTTACTCAGGGCGTATATATACGCCATGCGCACCATGGGACATGTTACTCAGGGCGTATATATACGCCATGCGCAGTTTAAAGGATAAAGAGCCGCCTAGAGGTATATAAAGAGACGCCTAGTGGTACATAATGGGGCCACCTACAGGTACATAAAAGACCGCCCAGAAGTACATAGAGGACAACCTAGAGGTACATAAAGGACCGCCTAGAGGTACATAAAGAGGCGCCTAGAGGTACATAATGGGTCTTCTGGAGTTACAAAAAGGGCCACCAAGAGGTACATAAAGGGCCGACTAGAGGCATATAAAGGGCCGCCTTGATGTGCATAATGGGTCGCCTTGATGTGCATAATGGGTCGCCTGGAGGTACATAATGGGCCGCCTAGAGGTACGTAAGAGGCCGCTTAGAGGTACATAAAGGACCGCCTAGAGGCATATAGAGGGGCCACTTAGAGGTATATAAAGGGCCGCCTAGAGGTACATAAAGGGCCGCCTAAAGGCACATAAAGGGCCGCCTAAAGGCACATAAAGGGCCGCCTAGAGGCACATAAAGGGGCTACCTAGAGGCACATAAAGGGCCGCCTAGATGTACATAAAGTGTCCGCCTAGAGGCACATAAAGGCGCCGCCTAGAGGCACATAAAGGCGCCGCCAAGAGGTACATAAAGGCGCCGCCTAGAGGCGTATATGGGGGCTACCTAGCAGTAAATAGGTACTAGTGAGTTAGACGACTGTTGCTGGCTGCTGCCTGGGTGTGTGTGGGGGGGGGGGGAGTTAGGTAGTAACAGTTGAGTGATTGACAGTTGAGAGGCGGGCGGAAAGAGCAGAGCTCAACCCCCACAAGCACAACTAGGTCAATACAGAGAAAGAGGAAGACACATAAGTAAACACGCAGAGAGAGAGACAGACACAGATACTGATCTGGGGTATCTCACATAGTACTATATAACAACATAAGAATAACATGAACTGCATAGGACCCATTCTTCCTTACCACACCGCTCCCATTTATATTCTCCCAAACTCATTCACGTGTGTCTAACCTACGCTTGAAACAATCCGCCGATCCCACACCTATTGTCTTACCTGATAATTCGTACATAAATCAACAACCGTTTCCATACGAACATTGACACAGGTCTTTCATGAATATAAACTTGTCCAATTTATATCCAGTGTTACCTTAATTTTTTGTATTTAAAACCTTATTTATATCCCATCTATCTATTTATATATTTCAATAATCTCGCCCCTTATTCGTCGACTTTATAGAGAATGTGAATTAAGTTTTTCTTAATCTCTCCTCATAAAGGAGGTTTCTAATTCCTGTTATTGATTGTTATTATTCTCTGAACAAGACCAAGTGAACTTATGTTCATTCTGTAATACAGAGACCAACAATGAACAGTATAATCCAACTGGGGCTCAACAAGGGCAGGAGCAAGGTGAACAATTCTATTAGATATATTAGTGCTACAACATCTAGAAATATATCCCAGAATACTCTTACCTTTATTCAATATATTTATGTACTAAACTGAAACTTCCAGTCTTTCAAGTAACTTGAATAACCTGTCTTCCTTCTGAACTAGCAACAGTCTTCCTTCTGAACTAGCAACAGTCTTCCTTCTGAACTAGCAACAGTCTTCCTTCTGAACTAGCACCAGTCTTCCTTCTGAACTAGCAACAGTCTTCCTTCTGAACTAACAACAGTCTTCCTTCTGAACTAGCAACAGTCTTCCTCCTGAACTAGCAACAGTCTTCCTTCTGAACTAGCAACAGTCTTCCTTCTGAACTAGCAACAGTCTTCCTTCTGAACTAGCAACAGTCTTCCTTCTGAACTAGCAACAGTCTTCCTTCTGAACTAGCAACAGTCTTCCTTCTGAACTAGCAACAGTCTTCCTTCTGAACTAGCAACAGTCTTCCTTCTGAACTAGCAACAGTCTTCTTCCTGAACTAGCAACAGTCTTCCTTCTGAACTAGCAACAGTCTTTCTTCTGAACTAGCAACAGTCTTCCTTCTGAACTAGCAACAGTCTTCCTTCTGAACTAGCAACAGTCTTCCTTCTGAACTAGCAACAGTGTTCCTTCTGAACTAGCAACAGTCTTCCTTCTGAACTAGAAACAGTCTTCCTCCTGAACTAGAAACAGCCTTCCTCCTGAACTAGCAACAGTCTTCCTTCTGAACTAGCAACAGAGTTCCTTGGGAACCAGCAACAGTGTTCCTTGTGAACCAGCAAGAGTGTTCCTTGTGAACCACCAACAGTGTTCCTTGTGAACTAGCAACAGTCTTTCTTCTGAACTAGTAACAGTGTTCCTTGTGAACCAGCAACAGTGTTCCTTGTGAAGGAGCAACAGTGTTCCTTGTGAAGGAGCAACAGTGTTCCTTATGAACCAGCAACAGTGTTCCTTGTGAACCAGCAACAGTGTTCCTTGTGAACCAGCAACAGTCTTCCTTGTGAACCAGCAACAGAGTTCCTTGTGAACTAGCAACAGTGTTTCTTGTGAACTAGCAACAGTGTTCCTTGTGAACCAGCAACAGTGTTCCTTGTGAACCAGCAACAGTGTTCCTTGTGAACCAACAACAGTGTTCCTTGTGAACCAGCAACAGTGTTCCTTATGAACCAGCAACAGTCTTTCTTCTGAACTAGCAACAGTGTTCCTTGTGAACCAGCAACAGTGTTCCTTGTGAACCAGCAACAGTGTTCCTTGTGAACCAGCAACAGTCTTTCTTCTGAACTAGCAACAGTGTTCCTTGTGAACCAGCAACAGTGTTCCTTGTGAACCAGCAACAGTGTTCCTTGTGAACCAGCAAGAGTGTTCCTTGTGAACCAGCAACAGTGTTCCTTATGAACCAGCAACAGTGTTCCTTGTGAACCAGCAACAGTGTTCCTTGTGAACCGGCAACAGTGTTCCTTGTGAACCAACAACAGTGTTCGTTGTGAACCAGCAACAGTGTTCCTTATGAACCAGCAAGAGTGTTCCTTGTGAACCAGTAACAGTGTTCCTTGTGAACCAGCAACAGTGTTCCTTGTGAACCAGCAACAGTGTTCCTTGTGAACCAGCAACAGTGTTCCTTATGAACCAGCAACAGTGTTCCTTGTGAACCAGCAACAGTGTTCCTTGTGAACCAGCAACAGTGTTCCTTGTGAACCAGCAACAGTGTTCCTTGTGAACCAGCAACAGTGTTCCTTGTGAACCAGCAACAGTGTTCCTTGTGAACCAGCAACAGTGTTCCTTGTGAACCAGTAACAGTGTTCCTTGTGAACCAGCAACAGTGTTCCTTGTGAACCAGCAACAGTGTTCCTTGTGAACCAGCAACAATGTTCGTTGTGAACCAGCAACAGTGTTCGTTGTGAACCAGCAACAGTGTTCCTTGTGAACCAGCAACAGTGTTCCTTGTGAACCAGCAACAGTGTTCCTTGTGAACCAGCAACAGTGTTCCTTGTGAACCAACAACAGTGTTCCTTGTGAACCAGCAACAGTGTTCCTTGTGAACCAGCAACACAGTTCAGGAGAGAACAGCCCGCCACAGTCACACAGTCAGCCCCACAACATTAGGGTTCCGGCCTCCGGACAAATACTTGGTAAACAACAATTTGAAAGCAGTTATTACGGACTGATCACAGGAATATTAACATATATTTTCTTCCCATCATCCCGAGCCCGCAGCTGCGAGAACATGTGACTTTTACAGTTGTCAAAAGACAGAGGAAGATGGAGACAGAGGGAGGTAGGGAGAGATGTGAAGAGGGAGGAGAGAGAGAGAGGGGGGGGGGGAGAGAGAGAGAGAGAGAGAGAGAGAGAGAGGAGAGAGAGAGAGAGAGAGAGAGAGAGAGAGAGAGAGAGAGAGAGAGAGAGAGAGAGAGAGAGAGAGAGAGAGAGAGAGAGAGAGAGAGAGAGAGAGAGAGAGAGAGAGAGAGAGAGAGAGAGAGAGAGAGAGAGAGAGAGAGAGAGAGGGGGGGGAGAGAGAGAGAGAGAGAGAGGAGAGAGAGAGAGAGAGAGAGAGAGAGAGAGAGAGAGAGAGAGAGAGAGAGAGAGAGAGAGAGAGAGAGAGAGAGAGAGAGAGAGAGAGAAAGAGAGAGAGAGAGAGAGAGAGAGAGAGAGAGAGAGAGAGAGAGAGAGAGAGAGAGAGAGAGAGAGAGAGAGAGAGAGAGAGAGAGAGAGAGAGAGAGAGAGAGAGAGAGAGAGAGAGAGAGAGAGAGAGGTTTAGGTAGAGGGAGAGAAAGATAGAGAAACGGGGAGAAGGGAGAGACAGTTAATTGTGAGAGAGAGAGACAGAGAGACCCGGGCTCCACCGGGTGTCCTTACTAGTAAATTATAAAACCATTTCGAATAAATTTACTGCCAGTAACTTAAACAATGACGATAAATATAAATATGTGAGTCACTTAACAATATTTTCCTCCATAACTTCACTACAACACTGTCCACACACCTGTCAGTAAACCATATAGCAGGGAAAGTTACACTTAACACTTTCTTCACTGATAACTTCACTACAACACTGTCCACACACCTGTCAGTCCACCATACAGCAGGGAATCAACATACTGTTCGTGTTTGTGTCTCTCCAAGAAAGTACCAATTGTACTTGTTACAATAGTACCAAGAAAGTACCAAAAGAAAGTAAATAATCACTTAAAGTTCTACACTGACACAACCCATTGTACTTTCTCGTATATAAATAAATCTGCTGACCGTTCTCAACATTTTTCACTCGTAAAAACGTTCAATAGTTTTGTTGATACGTTTACGGCGACCAGCCAGAATATGACGGCTCAAGGCTCCACACACCAGTGACTGCACCATCACACGGCCTTGTATACTCACACTCGGTCTTGTATACTTATCACAAGGAGTTATTATTATTATTATTTCACCAGGGAATATTACCCCCTATTTACCGTTACGTGTAATATCAAACGGTAGAGAATGTACACACAGGGCCAGAGTATATTAGTGTAAGTATGAGTACACACGCCCGCTGGCTGGGAGGTCCGGGGGAACACCACCTCTACTGACACTCCCTCTGTGGGACCCCTGCTTGGCCCCGCGCCTCCAGTGCGCATGCGTCACCTCCCGTCTCGTCTCCCCTAGTTGTGCTTGCGGGGGTTGAGCTTCGGCTCTTTGGTCCCGCCTCTCAAGTGTCAATCTACTGGTGTACAGATTCTTGATTCTTCGGCTCTATCAAATCTACATATGAAACTTTGTATGGAGTCAGCCTCCACCACATCACTGTCTAATGCATTCCATCTGTTAACTACTCTGACACTGAAAAAGTATTTCTAATGTCTCTGTGGCTCATTTGGGTATTAAGTTTCTACCTGTGTCCCCTTGTTCATGTTCCACACGTGCTAATTAGTTGGACCTTGTCCCACCCTGTCAGTTCCTGAAAATTTTGTAGGTGGTGATCATGTCTCCCTTTACTCTTCCGTCATCCAGGGACGTGAGGTGTAGCTCCTGTAGCCTTTCCTCGTAGCTCATATCTCAGTTCTTGGACTAGTCTGGTAACATACCTTGAGGTTACCTTGAGGTGCTTCCGGGGCTTAGCGTCCCCGAGGCCCGGTCGTCGACCAGGCCTCCTGGTTGATGGACTGATCAGCCAGGCTGTTGGCACGGCTGCTCGCAGCCTGACGTATGAGTCACAGCCTGGTTGCCACTAATATGCACACCGTTTCATTCAAGATGTGGGAAAAACACTTAAAAACTAAGACTTAAGACTAAATGAGATCAAAAGCATGAAGTGAACTGAAGTAGATGAAAGAATTACCATAATTACATGTCGAATTAACAACAACAATTGCAACAGACGAGCGGATAGTCATTTTGAGTAAATAAACTGACGGACTACAATTTTCTAAAGTTTATACATGTCAGTTATTAGCAGTTTTACAAGTTAGTCATTAATGATGTTTGATAATAGGAAGACATAGGTTGACATTTAGGATGTAAGGAATGTTACATGGAGTCGATTAGGTAGTACTTAGTGCTTCTCTTAAACTGGTTGAGAGATGGACAGTCTTTGACGTGATTGGAAAGGTCATTCCACATTCTGGGTCCCTTGATTTGCATAGCGTTTCTAGTTTAGTTAAGTCTCAATCTTGAATTATGAAATAGATATTTGTTTCTAGTGTAGTGCCCCCAAGAGTTCTGTTACAACCCTTTAGGAAGCGTTTAAGGTCAGGATTGGCATTACAGTTCAGAGTTTAATATATATAGAGTACACATGAGAGGATGTGCAGTGACATAATATCTAACAAATTAAAAAATTTAAATAAATGTCCGAGTGCTGTCTAGAGCCAGAGTTTGTTATTGTTCTAATAGCTAATTTATATGGAGTAATTAGAGGACGAAGATAATTTTGGGTAATAGAACCCCAAGCACATATACCATAGTTGAGATAAGGATAGATGAGAGAGTAATAGAGCGTTACAAGCAAGGCCGAGGTACATAATATCTGATTTTAGAAAGAATGCCAACTGTTTTAGAAACTTTTTTCGTTATATTTTGAATGTGATCCTGGAAAAAAATCAGCTTGTTATCAATGAGAACACCAACAACTTGAATTTCTAGGGTGGTCGTCACCCGGTGATGTTCGGTGAGATGTGGAGATGCTTGTCGGCCCACCCACTTTAAGGCCCACTATAAATATACAGAATAAGGCCATTGCTACCCTGCCGCCAACACTCACATCCACATCTCACCAAACATCACCAAGAACAGAAAACGGAACATCACCTCAGTTTCGCGAGTCGCAACAATCTTCTTGTACATCAGTTTTTGTCCTTACGTAAAGTATAGGGCACTTATACTTTAAAGGTATAGGGTACTTATACAGTGTACTTTATATATAAAGTACACTGTCACAGGCCCCACATTGTCTCCTCTGAGGAGACACCACTGTCACAGGGGCCACATTGTCTCCTCTGAGGAGACACCACTGTCACAGGGCCCACATTGTCTCCTCTGAGGAGACACCACTGTCACAGGGGCCACATTGTCTCCTCTGAGGAGACACCACTGTCACAGGGGCCACATTGTCTCCTCTGAGGAGACACCACTGTCACAGGGGCCACATTGTCTCCTCTGAGGAGACACCACAGTCACAGGGCCCACATTGTCTCCTCTGAGGAGACATCACTGTCACAGGGGCCACATTGTCTCCTCTGAGGAGACACCACTGTCACAGGGGCCACATTGTCTCCTCTGAGAAGACACCACTGTCACAGGGGCCCACATTGTCTCCTCTGAGGAGACACCACTGTCACAGGGACCCACATTGTCTCCTCTGAGGAGACACCACTGTCACAGGACCCACATTGTCTCCTCTGAGGAGACACCACTGTCACGGGTCCACATTGTCTCCTCTGAGGAGACACCACTGTCTCAGGGGCCACATTGTCTCCTCTGAGGAGACACCACTGTCACAGGGCCCACATTGTCTCCTCTGAGGAGACACCACTGTCACAGGGGCCACATTGTCTCCTCTGAGGAGACACCACTGTCACAGGGCCCACATTGTCTCCTCTGAGGAGACACCACTGTCACAGGGGCCACATTGTCTCCTCTGAGGAGACACCACTGTCACAGGGGCCAGATTGTCTCCTCTGAGGAGACACCACTGTCACAGGGGCCACATTGTCTCCTCTGAGGAGACACCACTGTCACAGGGGCCACATTGTCTCCTCTGAGGAGACACCACTGTCACAGGGGCCACATTGTCTCCTCTGAGGAGACAACACTGTCACAGGGGCCACATTGTCTCCTCTGAGGAGACACCACAGTCACAGGGCCCACATTGTCTCCTCTGAGGAGACATCACTGTCACAGGGGCCACATTGTCTCCTCTGAGGAGACACCACTGTCACAGGGGCCACATTGTCTCCTCTGAGAAGACACCACTGTCACAGGGGCCCACATTGTCTCCTCTGAGGAGACACCGCTGTCACAGGGGCCACATTGTCTCCTCTGAGGAGACACCACTGTCACAGGGCCCACATTGTCTCCTCTGAGGAGACACCACTGTCACAGGGGCCCACATTGTCTCCTCTGAGGAGACACCGCTGTCACAGGGGCCACATTGTCTCCTCTGAGGAGACACCACTGTCACAGGGGCCCACATTGTCTCTTCTGAGGAGACACCACTGTCACAGGGGCCACATTGTCTCCTCTGAGGAGACACCACTGTCACAGGGCCCACATTGTCTCCTCTGAGGAGACACCACTGTCACAGGGGTCCACATTGTCTCCTCTGAGGAGACACCACTGTCACAGGGGCCACATTGTCTCCTCTGAGGAGACACCACTGTCACATGGGCCACATTGTGTCCTCTGAGGTGACACCACTGTCACAGGGCCCACATTGTCTCCTCTGAGGAGACACCACTGTCACAGGGGCCACATTGTCTCCTCTGAGGAGACACCACTGTCACAGGGCCCACATTTTCCTTGTGAACCAGCAACAGTGTTCCTTGTGAACCAGCAACAGTGTTCATTGTGAACCAACAACAGTGTTCCTTGTGAACCAGCAAGAGTGTTCCTTGTGAACCAGCAACAGTGTTCCTTGTGAACCAGCAACAGTGTTCCTTGTGAACCAGCAACAGTGTTCCTTGTGAACCAGCAACAGTGTTCCTTGTGAACCAGCAACAGTGTTCCTTGTGAACAAGCAACACAGTTCAGGAGAGAACAGCCCGCCAGTCACACAGTCAGCGCCACAACATTAGGGTTCCGGCCTCCGGACAAATACTTGGTAAACAACAATTTGAAAGCAGTTATTACGGACTGATCACAGGAATATTAACATATATTTTCTTCCCATCATCCCGAGCCCGCAGCTGCGAGAACATGTGACTTTTACAGTTGTCAAAAGACAGAGGAAGATGGAGACAGAGGCAGGTAGGGAGAAATGTGAAGAGGGAGAGAGAGCGAGGAGAAGGAGAGGGAGGGAAGGAGAAAAGGAGAGAGAGAGAGAGAGAGAGAGAGAGAGAGAGAGAGAGAGAGAGAGAGAGAGAGAGAGAGAGAGAGAGAGAGAGAGAGAGAGAGAGAGAGAGAGAGAGAGAGAGAGAGAGGGGGGGAGGGGGATAGACAGGTGTAGGTAGAGGGAGAGAGAGGGAGAGAAAGAGAGAGGGGGAAAGAGAATCGGGGAGAAGGGAGAGACAGTTAATTGTGAGAGAGAGAGACAGAGAGACCCGGGCTCCACCGGGTGTCCTTACTAGTAAATTATAAAACCGTTTCGAATAAATTTACTGCCAGTAACTTAAACAATGACGACAAATATAAATATGAAAGTCACTTAACAATATTTACCTCCATAACTTCACTACAACACTGTCCACACACCTGCCAGTTTACCATATAGCAGAGAAAGTTACACTTAACACTATCTTCACTGATAACTTCACTAAAACACTGGCCACACACCTGTCAGTCCACCATACAGCAGGGAATCAACACACTGTACGTGTTTGTGTCTCTCCAAGAAAGTACCAATTGTACTTGGTACAATAGTACCAAGAAAGTGCCAAAAGAAAGTAAATAATCACTTAAAGTTCTACACTGACACAACCCATTGTACTTTCTCGTATATAAATAAATCTGCTGCCCGTTCTCAACATTTTTCACTCGTAAAAATGTTCAATAGTTTTGTTGATACGTTTACGGCGACCAGCCAGGATATGACGGCTCAAGGCTCCACATACCAGTGATTGCACCATCACACGGCCTTGTATACTCACACTCGGCCTTGTGTACTTATCACAAGGAGTTATTATTATTATTATTTCACCAGGGAATATTACCACTATTTACCATTACGTGTAATATCAAACGGAAGAGAATGTACACACAGGGCCAGAGTATATTAGTGTAAGTATGAGTACACACGCCCGCTGGCTGGGTGGTCCGGGGGAACACCACCTCTACTGACACACTCCCTCTGTGGGGCCCCTGCTTGGTCCCGCGCCTCCAGTGCGCATGCGTCACTTCCCGTCTCGTCTCCCCTAGTTGTGCTTGCGGGGGTT